TTCGTTGATGCAATTGAGATGCAAGTGCAATGTTAAATTCTGTGAAAACAAAACTTTGCCAGAAATTTATTGTAAAAGTAAAACACAAATTTTATAAGCCAGTGTCATGTCATTTTTTCGTAAAAGTTGTTGCCTTGTTAGCATCGGTTTGATCGTGTTTAGTTTTCCCGCCAAAAGACTTAGAAAAAATACGGGCGCTCAAAATACGCATGCGCCAGTTTTTTTAAAAAAAAAAATTCGCTGTAGTTGCTGTAAATAACATCTGTTTAAAAATTTATTTTTCCCGCCAAAAGACTTAGAAAAAATACGGACGCTCAAAATACGCGTGCGCCGTTTTTTTTAAAAAAAGTAATTTCTTAGTTAGTAATATTAAACTTAAAGAAATAACCAACAATAAAATATATTTTTGCCTTGTGTCTGCTCTACTTGATGTTGTTTGTTAGACTGTAATTACTAGTCAATATAATAAACAGTTTTCATTGTAATCTTTATTATCTTTAAAGTATTTCAATAATCACAATCAAGTATTAGGGTGAAAATCACTTTATTCGCCTCAAGTACTCTAATTATAAGTTAATTACTTGATAGAAACCAATTAAATAATTAAAGAGGTGTGAAGAAAAAATGTCCCCTATATATACTAAGACTTTTGGCGGGAAAATTTGGAAACATTTGCACAGCGTTTCCCCTGACAACTTTCTCGGCAAAAAATTCAAAATGGCTTCCCTTACAATTTCCCGCCAAAAATTATTTGAACATCACCTGGTGCAAAAAAGTGTAAAACACCAATTTTGTTTCCTACCCGTTAAAAATCCGAAAACGATGTTTTAACTTCGTTACTAAATGATTAAATCTCTCCGAGACAATTTTGTTTTTTCCAACTCTTTTGCACGAGATGATGTTTCGGATAAAAACCTTTTTCCACCGATTCTCGTTTGTAACACAGGACAAATGAAATCAAAAACAGCTTACAAATGTACCCGTCCTAAACAATCTGTAACAACAGCTATGAAGTTTTGGAGTAATGCACACAATTTAAACTGTTGTTTTAATAAGGACGTTAAGAAATGAACCTGTCCTAACCAATCTGCAAAAACAGTTAAGTTTTGAAGTAATACAAACAATCTCAACTGTTGTTTTCGCTAAGAACGTCAAAAAATGTACCCGTATCAACCAATGTGCAATGACAGTTACGAAGTTTTGGAGCAATATCGACAATTTCAACTATTGTTTTGCTAACAACGTCAAGAAATGTAGCTGTCCTGACCAAAGTGCAACAACATTTATGAAGTTTTGGAGCAATACAGACAATTTCAATATAGAAATAAGCTCAACGTAATGTCTTATAATTTTATTTTTGTAGTTGTGTTCATGCAGTGTCCTGTGTTACAACGAGCGCCGGCAGTAAAAGATCCTCATCCATTTACATGTAAATCGTTTCAAACACTGACTTGTCATAAAACCCAAGTGCCTGATTAAAGAGATGCGATTATATTCTGCGAGTTTAACCCCAGCCTTATTAAACTCGAATATTTGATTAAATAAATAAAGGTTATACGGACCACAATGAAAAGAAGGTGGTTGAAATTTGCGATGTTCTTTTGTTTCTTCACTCACAAAACAGCTCCAAATCGCATTTTAATTTAACATTGTGAAGGTAAACAATACAATTGTAAAGTCAAGTTGCTCATTGCAATTTTTCTTTCAAAAGACTTGATTTGCCAACGAAACGAAAAGCAAACTTAAATTGCAGATTTTCTCCAAAAGACTGTTGATTTGCTAACTAAAACAAAACGTTTTTAAATCAGATAAAAAATATTGCAAAGTTCTTTATTTTGGCTGTGTATAGCAGAAGGCAATCTTAATTTAAAATTTTGGAGATAAACAAGACAATTGTGAAGTCGAATTAATAATTTCGGGTTTTACTTTTCACAAATTGAAAAGTCAACAGTGAGCGAAAAGAAAAATTGTTTTGTAATTACTTATCAGCGAATTTTGTTGAGTAGTTTTTTGACCTGCACAGTAAAAAAGCTGAAAGTCCTGACTAAATTTTGGACATGAAACAAGCAAATTATAAAAAAGCTAACTTAATAATTCCAGGTTGTTTCTTTACTGGAAAATTTTTAAATAAACAAAATTGTCAAAACAATGCGGTTACTTTTATTGTTTATTGTGCGGTCTTGTGGTCCGTATAGCTCGAAAACTCGAAATACTGCCTAGCTTTATCTAGACCTCTTAATCGCAATATTTCACGAGCCAGGCATCAGGGTTTTGTAACAAGCACTCAATATTTGTCAAGAGAACATGGGCATCTAGAAACGTTCTCCGCCTAGACGTTTACCAAACAAAAACAAGCCAAAATGGAAACTATACTTCTCTCTTGCGTTTTAAAAGGAAATTTGTTTTTGTAAATAAATGGTTGGAACCCTGCCAGCATAGTTCTGTAAAGTTATTTGTCTGAATGATGTGTACGTTTCAGCGTTGTATTTGTCGCCTGTCGCCTGTCGCTTGAGGTTTGGAAACAGTGGTAAAGTAAGTTGTTGTCAGTTTTGATTCGTATATAATTAGAAAATATCAATAGGTCCTGTTTCAGGTCAAGTCCGTTGGTTGATTTTGTTGTATTGTTTTAAGATAGTGAACCAGCCTTTCAGAGTCAGTCGCCACAAGTAGTTTGTACTGATATAAATCAACGTGTTGAGCAAAGTAATTATCGACATCATCGATAGATGGTTTCGTGTCGTGCGTTTAGCGTTCAGATAGTCAGTCAGGGTTCCACCAAAACAAAACTGAAAAACTAAGACGTGCTATCGATTTGGAGAAATCTATACATTCTTTAAATCAAAAAGCCCATATTCTCTTGTCAACTACAGTTATAGTAACGTTTTAAGCACCGACTGTTTTGCAGACATGACGAAAAGATCTTGAGAAAATTAAACAACGCTAAACAATCGTAAACTCGTTTTTCCAAAAGTTGACAAAAATCTAATGTGTTATGAAATTTTATCAGTATTTGAGGTCCAATTATTTATGAAACTGAATCAAGACAATCAAGAATGTTCTCCGCATGAGGTGAACTAAATCAAAATTTACAAACGGTTGACAAAAGCTAAGCGAACGCTATCAAGTTCGCAATAATGTCTGCAAAAGAATCGGCAAATGGTGGCTGATATTTAAACCGCGTTTTAGATTAAAGTACTTTGTTGTTCTATTTCCCAGTCTCTAATTGAGCCTTTTTCCTCCAATCCAGACAATTAGCATGCGAATTGATGACCCAAGAGTAAAAGTTTTTACTTGCAAACAAAAATACTCTGTTCCATTTTCCAGTCTCTAAATTAACACATTTTTTTCCCTCCACTCCAGACAATTAAGTGTGCAATTGCAAATTGAAGTACTTTCTACCATTTTCCAGTTTCTAAATAAAATCCTTTTTTATCCGATCCAGACAATCAGTGTGCAGCTATTCCTTGACCTGAAACAGATTTCAGCAAATTTGAACACTGTTCAGCCACCATTTTTAGTTAACTAGTTATCTGACAATTTCAAAGTTCTTATCTTTGAAGAATTCTTCCTTGTTTGGTGATTCAAGTTTGTCCACTTCTCCAACTTCCTACGTGCCAGAAGTAGCTTTCTTGATCGCCTGCAAAAAGAATTGTAAAAGTCCAAGATCAGCAAATGTAGAAATATTCTAAAGCGGTGCATGTATGAAAGCTTCAGTAGACACTACAAATGCTAAACTGGCAAATAACAAAAGCCAAAATATGACAGTTCAGTCATAGTATAATAACGTACACTCCACGTGCAAAGAAACTAAACAAAAGAACGAAAAACTTTGCAAGGCAAAGGAAATAATTATCTCAATAGGAGTGGACTTTAGAATCCACATGGTTCGTGACAATTTTAAAATTTTAGCGCGCGTTTTTGCCTTTTAATTTAACAGGTAAAGTATGATGAAATAGTCGAATGTATTCAGTTTAAACCTCGAATCTTGATTTCAACGTTTCTTTCAGGCGCATAACAACACCAAACTTCCGAAATTTCAGCAAACTATTACAAAGCATTAGCTTTGGCCGCATAACCATTCAAACTGGCCGCTCTTGAATTGAATATTGCAAACGAAACACAGAATTTAAGATACCACTTTGCTGTTTTGTTTCAAGATGCGACGAACCTCAAAGATCTTCAAAACGAACACCAAATCCACGTGTTCACTCGCTTGGGCAACAGTTTGGTATTTGTGTGGCCTTCCAAAGAAAATTAGGGGATTGTTTTCCAAGAGCAGTGCTTACCTTTGATTGATATAGAATAAGGGCTTCTTTCCGAGTGTTAAGTCATTCCAGCATCAAGCATCTTCTTCCTTCAAGAGTAAAATTGGCCTGCAGCCGGACCACACGTCTTCACTCATCAACAAACAGTTTGAAATGTGCGACACTCAACT